GAGAGGTGGAAGGGAGGGGGAGGGCGCAGAGGAAGAGCGCCGTAGTCGCGGCGGCTGGAGTCGGAGCAAGGGGGGACGGTTTCAAAAAATAATTAAAAATCGAGGAAATATCCTAGAAAAGCCCTTTTGGCGTGAAAACCCCAAAGAGGACCCAGGCTTCCCGAAACGGAGTTTTCGGGTGCTGGAAAGGTCTGTATCTCGACCCTTGGGGCCTTGGATCCTGAGGGGAAACTTGGAGGGGTGAGCGCCGCGGCGGGAGTGTCCGGCTGCGGCCCACAAGGGCAGAAACTAGGGGACGTGGTGACGAGCTGGGGGAAAGAGGAGGACCGGGGAGCCGCCGGAGAGAGGCACAGGAACTCTGATCTCCCCTTTAGCGGTACCCCGATATCCCCCCTACACACACCTCCTCCCCCACTTCCCACCCCACCCAAATCTCCGCACCGAAGATACTGGAAAGCCAAACTGTAAGTAACCATTGTAAAGTGGGGGATGGGGTAAAGAGCGCTATTAGAAGAAGGGTGGCCGGGATAACGGGGTGCGAGGGGGAGCGGGCGACGTTTTCCAGGCTTTCCAACCAGAGTTTGCAAAGCAACATGGCGAAACCACGGCAGGTCCAGAGCTGTGCATACGTGGGCACACGGCTTGCTCTCGGCAAAGACTCGGAGCAAGGGGAAAATAGTGGTTCTTTTGGGTTCCCCTAAAACACACGTTCCTTCAGCATGACTTCCGGGGCTCCTGAATTCCCCGTTTTTCTCCTCCTCCCTCCTCCCTCTTCCTCCCCCTCCCCCCTTAAGTGCCAACGCGGAGTCGCGACCACATGCGGGGACCTGAGACTAGGACGAATTTGCTCTGGCCTTTTGGGGGGCTGCTTTTTTATTTTGGGGCCCCAGTTTTACTGCCCTGTCCCCTTCTTCAGTGCACCGAAAGTAGCCGCGGTTTCGCAAAGGACAAGGCGGGATGGGGGTGGGAAGAGGCAGCCACATGCGGGCACACGCGCGCGGGATGCCCCCACCCCCGCCCCAGAAGAGCCTCGTTTCTCCCAGATTTTCCTCCTCCCTCTTCTCTCCCTCCCCCAGTTAATCTTGCATCCTGCAAGGAACAGAAAAGAAGCCACGCGTCTCGCCGAAGGGCGCGGGGAGGCGGGCGCAGAGGATGTCCTCTCCCAGTTTCAGGGTCCCTGCGTGAGTAGGGGCGAGAACGAGGGTGGGGACAGACAGGAGTCTGTCTGCAGACCTACCTCCAGCATCCAGGTGGCCACCATCCTGCGCATGTAGGGCTGGATGTCCTTCTGCACGCATTTGAAGTAGGAGCACTGGGGAAGGTAGCGCTCCTCGATGGTGAGCAAGTTCTGCAAAATGCGGTCGTCGTAGAGCAGGTTGGCGTCCGGCACGGCCCTGCGGACTCGGTCCATCTCGCAGCACAGCAGCTCCATGGCCAGGCGGGTGCCCACTCGGTCCCCTGCTCTCTCCGGAATGGAAAAGTTTTTTGGACGGGGGAGGGGAAAGGGTTCCCCTTACCTCCTTCCTTTGCCTAGTGGAGTTTTCGGGGGAAAGTTAAAGGCAGAGAGAGGAGCTGGGGAAGAAGAGAGGAGAAAGATGGGCGGTGGGAGAGGAGAGCCTCGGGGGCCGCTGACTCTGCCTGCCCTCCCCTCCAAATTTGTCTCGCTCTCCCCAGCTCGCTCTCTTCTTCTGCTCTCCGAAGCAGTGACGCAAACTGGCTAGGCAGTTCTCCTCCCTCTCGCCTCGCTCCCCTCTCCGGTTCCTCCTCCCCTTTCCTCCCCTCCCGTCCCTCCCCTCCTCCTTTCTCTTCTTGTTATTAAGGAGAACAGCAGCTGGCCCAACCTAACTTCAAACGCGGTCCCCCGCCCCCCCCCACCCCTCTCCTTAGCTCTCCGAGGCCCTCTCCCTCCACCCAGCTCCGCATGCCAGGGGCCCTGGATAGGGGAACCCACAAAAAGCCGATTCCTATGTATTCCTTCTAATTTCGCACCCTGTAATGTATCATGCCAAAATACGACACTCCAACTTTGGCTTCTTCAAAACTCATCCTATCATTCCTGCCCATGTATTGAATGAAGATCCAGAAATCAAGGGTAGATTGCTTGAAGATGGGGTGGGCTCAGACGATTTAGAAATAGACCCCTTAAGTGAAAAACGAGGGCGATTTTAGAAAAGTGCAACCTCGCATATCCAGAGATAAAGGTTATGTCCCTGAAAGTTATGTCCCTGATCATTTCGAACCTGTTTCAAAAGCCCAAATAAAGGGACCAGAACAACGCCTTTTTTTTGAAGGGGCCCACCCCCCCCCCCCCCCCCCCCGCACAACCCCTCTCCGTGTGTGGCGTGAAAGGAGAGGAAAGGAGGGAGGAGGCGGCTTCTCCGACGTGGTAGAATGTGACCCTACGCAGAAACTCTCCTGTTCTTGGGGGTGCTACGGGCGCCATTGAGAGACACGCCGAGGCGCCCAGAGCTGCGGCGGGCCGGGGGCAGGGTTGCAAAGCGGTTCCTCCGCGGCCAGCGGCCAGCGGCCACGCAGGAAAAACCCGCTTCCTCGCCCCTGCATCTGCTGACAAGCCGCGCGAGGTGTCTGCGCCGAGCGTGGCCACACTGATACAGCTTTCTAGGAAATAGCCGGGGAGGGGGAAGGGAGGGGAGGGGGGCGAGGGAGGGATTAGGTTTGCCCACCCCCCTGCGCAAACACCACCCCTTTCTTTCCTCGGAGGCCCCTAACTTCCACCCCTGGTCCTTCGCCTGCATCCTCGCCGACCCCCTGGATTAATGCCTCACTTGCCAGCCAGGCTTTCACCCCGGGAGTGGGACTGCAGTGGAGACGCTGCCCGCGCAGTCGGCTATGACACGTGCTCAAATGCATCCTTGGGTCAAGGCTGCATTCATAGGGGATATGATAGCGTTTCCTCACCTCCTTCCTCCCGCGCGCCCCCCCCCACCTCCGTATTTCAATATTATTTCACTTTGAGAGGAAGGGTAGTGAGCCCAGCGCCCAGCGTGTTGGCCGAGCTGGCACGTGCAGCGAGCATGGCGTGGGCCTGGGCTCTGGACATACCAAGATCCTTCCAGTGCCTCCCTAACCGAAAAAAGGGGCCCGAACCGGGGCGTGGAGAGCAAGCGGGGTGGGGTGGGGGGGCTGAGTGAGCTGCTCACGCGGTTCCCTGAAAGGAGGGGGGAGGTGGAATAGAGAAGGCAGGGAGTGACTGAACCAGAGGTGCTAGCGATTAACTCAGGCCCCCGGGCCAGCCCCTTCAAACGAGGGTGGGGCTGGAGGGTGGGGGGGAGGGGATATAGCTTTAAAAGGATAAGAGTTTGGGGCGCCGTCTCCCCTCCCTCTATTTGCATAGCCAATGGCTCTGGGGCTCCTGCTACTGCGCGCTG